GCATACAATATTAAATATTACCTGTATTGAATGATTACCAATGGCCAAAGGAGTTTAAGATTGACCTTGGGGAGTATAAACAGTAACACCTTAACAAACCAATGCAAGAAGTAAAACAACATTAAGAAAGTAAAACAATGGTTCCGTATGAGGTTCAATTTCCCTAAGGTCTATGCATACAATATTAAATATTACTTGTATTGAATGATTACCAATGGCCAAAGGAGGTTGAGATTGACCTTGGGAAGCACAAAAAGAACCATCCTACATGCAAAAAAAAAAAAAAAAAAAAACCAAAATAATAAATATCACCCTACAAGATTACACGAATAACTAATCCAACAAAATTAATACAAGGTCGACACAATAGTAAATATTAGTTGAATAGAATTATTATCCATAGTGGCAGAAGGCTCGCAGATGACCTTCGGGAGTACAAAAAGCATCACCTACAAACGACCAATTTTTTATTTCATTACTTTTCTAACACACATAACACAAAATTGGTAACACATATCACATAACACATAACAATCACACATAACATATAACAAAATATCATTTAATCACATGCAACAATTTTGTGTAGTTGCTTGTCTTTTCTTGAGCCCCTTGGCTTGGATTGGACAATCTTCTTCATCACTCTGTGGGCATGTTTTAGCTGAGGAATTTCTCAATTCAATGACCTCCACTTGACCAACAGTGTGCACACTAATTTGTCTTCAATCATGACACTCAATTTTTCACCTTTTGCAGGTGACAAATGATAACTTTCTTCAGTTTTAGCAGCTCTGCGTGCTATTGCTCTAAACATATTCCATCAATGACCTATATCGGTCACTTTGATGTAGTTTTACCCATGCCTATCTTTCACACTTTCAGCCTTGCTTTTTTTAGTCCATCGTTTCAGTATGTATTGTGCAGGAAGGTCCTTTGCATTGAATATCTCTCTAAGCACCTTCAGACAATGTCGACACACTATGCCCTTCACTTCAAACTTCTTGCAACTACAACTTAAAGAACCATCTCTATCCATTGTCACATTCTTATCTTTTTTTTCAATCTATGTCCATTTGAATTGTGAATATGGTACTCTCACCATCATTAATAGTGCCTACAATGGACGCTTCAATGGACTGCACGTACTCATTTTGGAATTCCTCAAAAATTGTTTTTGGTGTAAATATCTGCCATTTGCGTTACATCAAAGTTGGAATGGAAACCCTTGGCAATTTTTGGGACAAATTATACTCGGATTCCAATTCTTTATACCTTTTGTCATAGAGCACCCTCTCAAAATGCATGAAAAATTCTATCAAGTTATGATCACAATTGAGATAATCCTTCAAAAATGCATTGAATGATTCACTTAGTTGGGTAGTACTCATTCCAGCTGCCCAAGAATTTATAATATATGGCCATTCCCATTTCTCTTTCACACCAAAAGTTTGCTCAACCAATGATTGTTGCGTGCATCATACCTATCAAGCATTTGGTCCCGTTGTATTTTGAATTCTTCTTCATCATCAATTTGATGTATAAATTTTGAAAACACACCCTTCACCCCTACATCTCTAAAAAGAGAACTTACATGCTTCACAGCATTTTGCATCAAATGCCATGTGCAAAGTCGGTTGGTTTGTATTAGGCATGACAATTGGAATGGCCTTAGCCATCGTAGATCTTGATCTGTGAAAATAATTTTTGGAGCTTTGTTTGACATTGCCTACAAAAAAATCTGAAACAACCATGTGAATGATTGGGCAGTCTCATCATACATCAACGCTACACCGATATAACTGTTTCTCGATGATAATTAGAATGGCCTTAGCTATCGCAGCATCTTGATCTGTGAAAATAGTTTTTGGAGCTTTGTTTGACATTGCCTACAAAAAATCTGAAACAACCATGTGAATGATTCGCAGTCTCATCATACATCAATGCTGCACCGAATATAACTGTTTCTCGATGATGATTAAATCCAACAAAGGTTCCAAAAGGTCTATGCTCATTTTTAAATTGTAAGTAGTGTCAAAGGTCACTACATCACCAAATTGAACATAGTCCATTATCATTTGAGCATCGGCCTAAATATATTACTTATCTACTCTTCACAATATAATTGGACTGCATAATAAAAAGATGGATTTTCCATAATTTTCTTTACGAAAGTATTGCAACACACTACCCGCTTCTAATATTCCAAATCTTTTTTGTCTCTTCGATCTCAAGTAATTTTTTTAGTCTAATTTGGTGAAGCCAAGTGATGCTCTTCCACCAGATTCCCTACCAAATAGCTCATAAGCAGACCTAAGAGGAATTCCATATTCTGAAGCCAATTCTACTTCAATTGCTTGGGTGGTAGATATTTTTCTTTGGGATGGCAACATATAAATGCACTTTTGAGACACAAGGTCATAATTATGATGTTCAAACAAAATCAATTGTAACATATTTTCCTAAATTTCTATCTAACTTGATACTAATCGGGCACCACAACCACATCTGGCCTCTTGTCTCGGAAATTTTACTAGTGGATCTCGCTTGTCAATTCCCCAATGTCACGACCCAACCCGGCCCTTTGGGTTTAGCACCGTAACGGCCAGTAATCCGAGATTACCGAAGGCCTGCAGAACAATAGAACAGTAAAAAGAGTACAGGGCCTGGCGGAAGCCAAAACAGTAAATAAACAATGTCCAATGAGCTGTGACAGTCTGTATGCAAAAAGACTTTCATACATATATACATAATCAGTACAGAACAGTATGCACAAAATGCACAATCATTCAGACTAGGGACTCAACCCTTCGCATCACAGTACAGTAAGCATTCGATCTAACAAAAACAGTAAGACAGTACAGAAGGGGAAATTGTAAAACACCCCTAAGCCTTAACACGATAGGCTCGGAACCTCGCAGTGAGGCACATAGGCTGGCTTGACAAAACTGGAGTAACCCTAACGCTCCTAGCCGCGGTCTGGTGCCTGTACACCTACATATATATATGAGCAGTGAGCTAAAGCCCAGTGAATAACATAATGCGTAAAGAGGTTAAGAATGAATGTCCTTACAGTATGAAAAAGTTCATTTAAACAGTATTTCAGTCATTCAGTCAGTACAGTCATATGTGGTACATCCATCAGCATATCAGTACAGTAAACAGTAGGTCTTAAAAGACCGAGCAGTAATGATGGCCATCAGTCAGTAACAGTAGTGGTTCCAACGAGGAACCGACAGAGAATTCTGTCACAGTAACAGTAAACAGTAGTGCTAAGGATGCCACAAATACAGTTCAGAATATAGGACATACATTCATTCAGTTAACAGTAAATCAATTCAGAAAGCAGTACAGTTCAGTTGTTCAGAAGATAATCATTTGTGAACATATCTTTACACAATCGTTACTCACGTATACACTTGAAACAAACATTTCCTCAGCCCTTTCTTGAGCCTTGCCGACCTAGAGAGTAGAGAGGGAGAGAAATTGGTTTTTCACCTTGAATTGCTCGGAAACTTGAAGAATTGCTTGGTAATTGAAGTGTAGATTGCTAAATTGGACCTCTAGACCTGCATTCAAGGAACCTAGGTAAGGATTTCATCTTCTCATTCTTGTGTTTGAGCTAATTCTTCCATGGTCCATATTCACTGGGCTTTAGCTCATTGCTCATATATATATGTAGGTGTTCAGGCACCAGACCGCGGCTAGGAGCGTCAGAGTTACTCCAGTTTTGTCAAGCCAGCCTATGTGCCTCACTGTGAGGTTCCGAGCCTATCGTGTTAAGGCTTAGGGGTGTTTTACAATTCCCCCTTCTGTACTGTCTTACTGTTTTGTATAGACCGAATGCTTACTGTACTGTGATGTGAAGGGTTGAGTCCCTAGTCTGAATGATTGTGCATTTTGTGCATACTGTTCTGTACTGATTATGTATATATGTATGAAAGTCTTTTTGCATACAGACTGTCACAGCTCATTGGACATTGTTTATTTACTGTTTTGGCTTCCGCCAGGCCCTGTACTCTGTTTTACTGTTCTATTGTTCTGCAGGCCTTCGGTAATCTCGGATTACTGGCCGGTTACGGTGCTAAACCCAAAGGGCCGGGTTTGGGTCGTGACATTGGGGAATTGACAAGCGAGATCCACTAGTAAAATTTCCGAGACAAGAGGCCAGATGTGGTTGTGGTGCCCGATTAAGTATCAAGTTAGATAGAAATTTAGGAAAATATGTTACAATTGATTTTGTTGAACATCATAATTATGACCTTGTGTCTCAAAAGTGCATTTATATGTTGCCATCCCAAAGAAAAATATCTACCACCCAAGCAATTGAAGTAGAATTGGCTTCAGAATATGGAATTCCTCTTAGGTCTGCTTATGAGCTATTTGGTAGGGAATCTGGTGGAAGAGCATCACTTGGCTTCACCAAATTAGACTAAAAAAATTACTTGAGATCGAAGAGACAAAAAGATTTGGAATATAGAGAAGCGGGTAGTGTGTTGCAATACTTTCGTAAGAAAATTATGGAAAATCCATCTTTTTATTATGCAGTCCAATTATATTGTGAAGAGTAGATAAGTAATATATTTTAGGCCGATGCTCAAATGATAATGGACTATGTTCAATTTGGTGATGTAGTGACCTTTGACACTACTTACAATTTAAATAATGAGCATAGACCTTTTGGAACCTTTGTTGGATTTAATCATCATCGAGAAACAGTTATATTCGGTGCAGCATTGATGTATGATGAGACTGCGAATCATTCACATGGTTGTTTCAGATTTTTTTGTAGGCAATGTCAAACAAAGCTCCAAAAACTATTTTCACAGATCAAGATGCTGCGATAGCTAAGGCCATTCTAATTATCATCGAGAAACAGTTATATCGGTGTAGCGTTGATGTATGATGAGACTGCCGAATCATTCACATGGTTGTTTCAGATTTTTTTGTAGGCAATGTCAAACAAAGCTCCAAAAATTATTTTCACAGATCAAGATGCTACGATGGCTAAGGCCATTCCAATTGTCATGCCTAATACAAACCACCGACTTTGCACATGGCATTTGATGCAAAATGCTGTGAAGCATGTAAGTTCTCTTTTTAGAGATGTAGGGGTGAAGGGTGTGTTTTCAAAATTTATACATCAAATTGATGATGAAGAAGAATTCAAAATACAACGGGACCAAATGCTTGATAGGTATGATGCACGCAACAATCATTGGTTGGAGCAAACTTTTGGTGTGAAAGAGAAATGGGAATGGCCATATATTATAAATTCTTGGGCAGCTGGAATGAGTACTACCCAACTAAGTGAATCATTCAATGCATTTTTGAAGGATTATCTCAATTGTGATCATAACTTGATAGAATTTTTCATGCATTTTGAGAGGGTGCTCTATGACAAAAGGTATAAAGAATTGGAATCCGAGTATAATTTGTCCCAAAAATTGCCAAGGGTTTCCATTCCAACTTTGATGTTAACGCAAATGGCAGATATTTACACCAAAACAATTTTTGAGGAATTCCAAAATGAGTACGTGCAGTCCATTGAAGCGTCCATTGTAGGCACTATTAATGATGGTGAGAGTACCATATTCACAATTCAAATGGACATAGATTGAAAAAAAAAGATAAGAATGTGACAATGGATAGAGATGGTTCTTTAAGTTGTAGTTGCAAGAAGTTTGAAGTGAAGGGCATAGTGTGTCGACATTGTCTGAAGGTGCTTAGAGAGATATTCAATGCAAAGGACCTTCCTGCACAATACATACTGAAACGATGGACTAAAAAAGCAAGGGCTGAAAGTGTGAAAGATAGGCATGGGTACGAAACTACATCAAAGTGACCGATATAGGTCATTGATGAATATGTTTAGAGCAATAGCACGCAGAGCTGCTAAAACTGAAGAAAGTTATCATTTGTCACCTGCAAAAGGTGAAAAATTGAGTGTCATGATTGAAGACAAATTAAGTGTGCACACTTGTGGTCAAGTGGAGGTCATTGAATTGAGAAATTCCTCAGCTAACACATGCCCACAGAGTGATGAAGAAGATTGTCCAATCCAAGCCAAGGGGCTCAAGAAAAGACAAGCAACTACACAAAATTGTTGCATGTGATTAAATGATATTTTGTTATATGTTATGTGTGATTGTTATGTGTTATGTGATATGTGTTACCAATTTTGTGTTATGTGTGTTAGAAAAGTAATGAAATAAAAAAATTGGTCGTTTGTAGGGTGATGCTTTTTGTACTCCCGAAGGTCAATCTGAGCCTTCTGCCACTATGGATAATAATTCTATTCAACTAATATTTACTATTGTGTGCGACCTTGTATTAATTTTGTTGGATTAGTTATTCGTGTAATCTTGTAGGGTGATATTTATTATTTTGGTTTTTTTTTTTTTTTTTTTTTTTTGTTTGCGACGTTAATTTTGGGGTTGTCTGTGTCGTTGATTTGTTATGTGTGTTGTGATGCTTTTTTTTGTGTGTGT